AATGAACAATACTTCTTCACCATCTCAGCCAACAAATATCGTGCAATAAATTATCTGATTTCGCTTTACACTTCATTAACAAGTTTTCACTTTAACAAAAAACCTCTCTGAGATTTTATTTAGATTTGTCACATTCGCTACATGTGACGGTATTCTAAAATTGGAGTGAGAGAAAATAAAGGATCAGAGGTTATGTTTTCTAGCCTTACTGTGTAGTGATGAATAGTGAAAAAATATAAATACTTATCTATGGCTTTTAAAAACAAATAAATAAAGGCAGTGCAAAAAGTATTTAGGCTTGAAAATATGCCACATTTAAGCGAGACTTTTATTATAAAAATTATTTAACATTAGAAAAGGTTACGAATGGATGATAACTTAGAAACCCGTATTCAAATAGATGATCAAATCAGTAACAATGATACGTAGTGAGTTCTCCTAAGATAGAATATATTACTACTTTGGGTGAAGATGATAAATCATTCGTTGGTTAGAAATTGTTGATAATGAGCAACAAATTAAAACACGAATATATGATATCACAAAATAACATTGATTATAAGCAATAATTTTTATCTTTTACGTCATGAACAAACTTTTCTATTTTTTGAACACTCCATAAAAAATTAAGGGATTTCTGATTTTAAAACCAAAAACCGGCATAAATTAGTCTAGCATTTGTAGGTGATGATTTTATTATGGTCAGTTATCATGATAAGTCACCACGTAAGGCATATGTTTTTACTCAAAAAATAGCACAGAATTGATTCTAATTAACAGCAACGCCAGCGTCGCCAGCAATCGAGGTGGCAGTCACATGATTTCCGACCCGAAATTTTTTGGAAATCCTTCAAATTTGGTTTTCGGGTTTTTATTTTTTTATTTTTATTTATTTATTTTTGAGTTTCAGAACTTTTGGAAGAGAAGCACCTCTTCCAAAAAATTTCAGAAGATAAAAAAGAAAGCTCTCTGGAAAACGAAATTTGAAGGATTTCCAAAAATTTTGGGCGGAAATCATGTGACTGCTACCTCGATTACTGGCGACGCTGGCGTTGCTCAAATTAACGATAATACTTAGAGGAAAATTATTTATGTATCATAGCGATCTAGGTTATATTACAAAATGGGACATCAAAACTAAAATTCGAATCATACTTTTTATTCAAATCTTATTACGATAAAAAAATTAAGCGATGATGGATTATTATTATTTGTATACGGAACAAAAGTCATAATAGCTGATGATTTAGATGATTTTAAGTTATTGACATCTATATTCCTCGGATTAATGCTTGCGTTAGATGTCGACTTTTTGCCCGCATTAACTGATTGACATTGATTGACCTAAATTAAGCCCAAATCCTTCCCAGATTCTTACCCTAACTCTATCCTAACTTAGGCCGATTGACATCTGAGGTAAGCGTTAGTCTGAGGCACGGCATTTATACGTATACAGTATATGGACGCTGTTCAATATAAAAGGGGAAATCTCTTTTAAATCTAGTCAATTTGACCAGATTTAAAAAGAGATTTCCCCTTCTTTATTGAACATATATATATATATAGTTATTGTCTGGAGCGATGCGACAGACTTATATTTCTACGCCCTTTGATGACCAAAATTACGTTTTTGATAATTTATAGTAAAAATATTAAAAACGTAGTTTTGGTATTTTCCGGATGTAACGCCCTTGAAAAATTTGATTTATATACGTACATAACAAAACTTTTCAGGGGCTGAAGTGAGCTTCAGACTTATACCGGTTTCCGGTTCCTAGTTTAATTTATTTGATAAATCTATTTGTAACAGCCCGTTACACGCTTATTTGTAACAGTTTGCTTATAACTCAAAATTTTACTAAGATAATCTCTTTTGGGTTACTAACAAAAAATGATCCTCTCACAATTTTGTATTAATCTTGACACTAACTTTAAACCTAACCTAACACTAACCCTAACGCTAACCCTAACATTAATAGGCTGTTACAAATAAGCGCGTAACAGGTTACTACAAATAGATTTTTTCTAATTTATTAATTATATATATATATAGTCATTGTTACGTATATATATGATAATAAATCAATCAGAATTGACAGTATATACCTATTAGAATGTGTAACAATATTATGTGAACTATATACATTAAATAAATGATTATGATCTTAAACTATGCATTTAAAACTTTATTGAAATTATACTGTATATATATTGATTAGGCTGTCTAGAATTATGCAATAGCAGAAATTTACAATTGAAATAAATTTTATTTTTTTTAATAAATTTAATTTGTATATTAGGACTTTTTAAAGACCTAAGGACCCTAGGTCCTTAAATTTGGACTTCGTCTTTAAAGACCAGGTCCTAAAGTCCCGGACCTAAGAACTTTACCAACCTTAGTTGTAGGCGTTCTAATTTTAGTGTCAGAATCGTTAAATTTTTCTGATAATGAATTGATTTCTTCACGAGACCGTTGGACTTGGTTAACAAAATTGATATATAAACCGCTAGTCGTATTCACATTAGCTTGATTCAGGTCAAAGACACTCTTTGTCATAGTTTCTGAATCCATTCGTGTTATGAGGAATTGATTCTGAAATTCGGAAAAGCCTTGAGTTACATCCGTGGTAAATGAATTGAAAGATTGAGCATGTCGTTTTTGTAATTCTGATGTCTCTTTAACTGCGGCACTTGCAAATGTATCTAACGATATTATCTTTGATCTAAGTGCATCTTTACATTCATCCAATCGTGTATATATGTTATCTTCTATGGCATCAATTCGTACTAGTCGGTTTTCATTTTCTAAAGCTGATAGATTTTCCTTGGAAGCATCATATCTATTATTAAAGTTGGTCAAATAAGAAGTGTTCGCAGAATTTATGTCATTAACAACATTATTGCACGCTTCACCAAATGATTTAACGGAATCGACATTCTTTTGAATTATATCTTGAACGTTATTAATGACATTTTTGATTTTAGCTGAATGTGCATCACCATATTTTTTAAGTGTTTCTAACACATTGGCTAAAATTTCTTCTTCCATTGATTTTCTTAATAGAACATCTTCCTCTGCAAGTTGTGTCAAAAGATGATTTTGTTCTATCATACAATCTATTTGAGAATTGGAAGTTTCACGTGTGAAATTACGGAAAGAAGTGATCGCTTGATTTTGAGATGTAATATGTTCTTGAGTTGTTTTCATTAGACCAGATAAATCTTCACCGAATTTCACTTGATATGATTGAACCTTTTCGAATTGATTTGACAATTCATTTTGAAATGTATTGAACGTCGCGGATGCATTATCTCGTAATTCTTGACTTTTCTGATCCATAAGTTTTAGAGTTTCTTCACGGAATTTTGATAGTTCAGAATTTAAATTAACGGCAATTTGTTCTTGATTATCAAATATTTGAATAATTTGATCTTTTTGTATTAAGGATCGATCAATACGTTCTTCTATACATTTAATAACAGTTGAAATTTCATTTTCGCGTCGTTCCATAAATTCCCTTGCTTTGTTATATATCAATTCACCAAATCCAATATGTACAGATTTTATTTCTTTAAATTTATATTCTAATTGAGATGTTACTGATAACATCATTTGTTGAAATTCTTGAAATACTTTTTGGTGATGATTATTAATAGAAATTTGCCGTAAAAGTTTTCTATTAATAATAGAATTTTCTTGTTCAAATTTTTCAGTTTGTTGCTTTAAATTTTCATTCAACTTTTTCAATTCCTCATTTTCATCTTTTCGACTTTGATTTTCATCTACTAGAGTTTGATAAGTATCTTGTGATAAATATATTCCATTTTTTTCTCTAGCAGCTAATAGATCAGCTCTCAAACGTTCAATTTCACCAATATATTCTTTGATTAAAGCTTTTTTTGTAACTCGTTGATTTGCCACAGGTTTATTAAGAATGTTCTTTGCACGTTGAGCATAATCTAAAGTAGATATAGTTTCTTCATAACTTAATTTTGCAGGAGAAATTGTCGCGATTATACAAGTTTTTGTATGACCACCAAGAGAATCTTGTAGGAGACGAGTTAATTTGCTTTCTCTATATGGTATATGTTGATTATGTTCATTGAGACTATTAATACATCTACCTAATGTTAACAAGCTTCTATTGATTTTTCCAGCTTCTTTTGCACGAAGATTTTCAGCACCAGTTCTACTAATATTTTCTGAACCAGCCAAATCAACTAAATTAAATTTTCCAACTTTTAATAAATCTTCACCATCAGGCATAGTTTCCTTAATATGAACAGTAATAAGGAATACAGAATGAGAACGACTAGAATTCTTATTATAATTTGTTTGAGCAACTTGACGTTTTATTGAACCCTGTTTCAAAACGTTTATTCCATCTTCAGCATTTTTAATAAGTACTTCTTCGTGACCTTGAAGAACACACTTTCTATTTACATCATCAAGGATCTTTAATTGTCTAGTATCACTATCAGAAGAAAGTAAATCTTTTAATTCTTCATTATATAATTCAATATAAGAAATTTTAACGGAAAAATCAGCTTGTTCAGCCTCCAAAGTATCAAATAGATAATATAAAGAACGTGGGATAACACCGGCATCAGGACTAATATTACCATTGCAAAGGTCAAGTTTTCCTTCCATAGTAAAAGTTTTTCCAGTAGAAGTTTGACCATAAGCGAATAAAGTACAATTATATCCAGCTTTAACTTCATGTAATATTGGAATTACAATAGTATCAAAAATTTTACTTTGATCAGCATCAGAACCAAAAACTTTATCAAAAGTAAAAGTTTTATACGGCATCATATCTTGAGGATTAGACCAAACTTTAATTTCACGAGGAGTAGCCTGAACAATAATTGGAGAATTTGCGGCGACTTCACGTTCAATTCTTGCACGACAACGCACAACTACTTGAATATTAATTGCTTTTTCTCCTTCTTTTGCTGAATTTTCATTATTACTTCTTCTTCGTTTTTTTGACCTTTCAGATCCAGTAAATTCACCATTAAATGATATGTTATCCATCTTTTTGATAAAGAAAGTGTTCATAAAATGAATGCCGTACTATTTTTTTTTGATTATTGGTGATTTGTTTACAAAAAAAAATAAATAAATCGCGTATTATATAATAAACATAAATTGTCGATCAATGATTATCAATCCAATCAAAACAAAAAAGTTACGTCAATATACTGTACCATACGAATATCAAAATACATTCACCGAATTGAAAATTTGAATCATCAAACATTTTATCGATTCTAAACCGATATAAATTTCGCAATCATAAATTTGAAAATGATATGAGAGAATTCAATAATATCAAATATGCAGATTTGGGATTATCAATGACTACGTAGTCAATAAATTATTTATTAAAAAATAACTGAATCTCAAAAATTATCAAAAAAAAAAAAATTTTTTTAAAAAGACCATTAGTTACATTTAGACGTCCTAACAATCAATCAAGCATTTGCCATCAAACCAATCTTTAATTAAATTAAAATGTATAATGAATTAATCAATACATTAACTGTTAATTTGATATTGAACAGTCAACGATAAACTATAAATGATATAATGTACCGGGTGTCCCAAAAGTTCCTATACACGATCCTTTTTTTTTTTAAAGTGATCTTATATATAGAGATCACGACGATTATTTATGCAACATTTAAAAAAAAAAGTGACCGTGTATAGGAACTTTTGGGACACCCGGGTATACAGTCAGACCTCTCTAAGTGCACGCCCTTGGGATCACACTTTAAAGATTATGATCATCCTGAAATTTTGTAGGCTGTATAATTTATAACTGATTTACGTCAATGTTTTTTATATCTATGTTCTCAAGCCCCCTAGCATAACCACCACGATCAGTTACGTAATCGCTGTTTAAAGTCTGATCTGAGATTTTACTTAACAGGATTTCATAATCCGACATACAAAACTATTATCGTCATTATTAGTGTTTATTCGAAATTGTTCGGTAAACAATTACTGTATTACCTAACTTTACATATTATATTATAGATTTTTATTGCGCCAAGAAAAATGGTTATTCGAAATTTATTTGGTAAATGTTCATGAATTTAAGTTTACTGATAAAAAAAAAAAAGAGTATTTCGTGTGTTTCAGGTTGTTGCAGGTTTTACGTTTGGTTCAGATTCTTTATGTCGTCTATTATCTTTGAATTGACGTGAAATTTGCGAAAGGTTATAAGACTTTCAAGAAGGTCAAGCGCCTATATTAGAATAGTATCGATATCAAATTTATTTATAATTTAATTTGATAAAAACAATAAATAAGTTATATTTCATAAAGAATTTTTTAGTATTGAGCTATAATTTCCAAATCGCTTTCTTCACTTGATCGTCATCTTCTTCCTTTTTTAAAAGAGATTTTACAAAGCCTTTTTATAAGTTTGAAAGTTATACGGCTTAGTATTCTTTTATCCTTAAGGGTTGAACACTCCATGCTTTGACATTAAAGAATTCTATTCTACGAACATTTCTTGTTTCTATTGTTATTATATATATATATACCATTAATATTCTTCTAAGCCTTTAACACGTAAACTAGTTATAACATTTTCTCGAAGCCACTTATTCCCTAGTCACGAGTTTACTGTGCCAAAATTTGTAGACCCCACCTTTTGCTCGATATTCAAATTCGGTGAAAGATTATACCCTTGCTGAGTAGAGTACTTTTAACCAACTGAATAATTTCTTGTTATCTGGCATGATTTGACGGATACATGGGTATTAGCAGGATAATAGCAAAAGCACGTGGCCGAAGGCCTCATGTGTGGGAGAGTCTCCGCGCAGAAGCTACGGACAGTTCCTAGGGACAGTTCAGTGGCCAGAATTAGGATTAGGGTTAGGGTTAAGGTAGGTGGATTTAATTGATGTTAGTCAAAATGCACTGTCCATAAGAACTGTCCGTAGACTCGGCGGAGTCTCCGGACACCTACCAACACGTGATTTTTGCACCTACCAAATATAAACCAACCAATCATAAAAAACTCTAACCCTAGGTAGGTGCAAAATCGGTAGGTGTCCGGAGACTTTCTCCTCGTGCGTTGCAATTATACTGTCGATGTCCATGTACAGGAGCGAACGTCGATGTTACATGACTGATTTTTCACCCGGTGTGCAACATATAAAAAAACTATTTTACAATACCAGATCATTCCGACAGTACATGTTAT